AAATCACAGCTGTCATTTTACTGGTCAATGAGAACAAGTTGATACCTTTCTGTATTCTTATTCAGCACCTGTTTTGTATTATTGTGGAGTTTTCAGATTTTTACCTTTTTCAGTTCCAGATTTTCAAGATTGTATATCATATCATTGTATATCCCCCATTGATTATCTGTATATTAGGGAGTTCAACCAGCACCACCGCTGAACGACCCCTGGAGAACAAATAATTGCAGGACAAGCCACGCACTGTAGATAGTAGAATATTTCTGAGGAAAGCCAGGTAAGGAAGATTGGACCTTGAAAATGTGAGATGAACAGATGCAGGTTTCCGCACTTATTTACACTGAGTGGCCAGTTTATTATGAGCACCCCATCAGTACTTTGTTGGGCCGCCTCGTGACTCCACGAGATGATGAAGGGTGATGCGAGGAATCTGACACGGCACTGTTGCCATTCTGTTGTCTTGTACCAGTCTTGCCACTCTCCGTTCTGCCCTAACATTGACTAGTCCCTGACGGCCACAATTCGCACGTTCAGACCCAGATTTTCGGCTGACAGTCCGGTCTTTAAAAACTTTAACAACAGCGGCTCTTGAACATTTAACGAATTCTGCTGTTTTGCTGATACTCGCTCCATGGCTCCGAGCGCCAACATTCATCCCACGTTCAAAGGCTGTTAAATCGCGTTGTTTCCCCGTATCTTCAGAATAAAATCACTTCTACTGTCGTGGTAAACAACCTGCTTCCCTATTTATAATGGTCTGGCCCTCTAGCAACTTCAGCGCCAAATTATAGCTAATTTGCCTACAAATGTCAGGTGGTCATAATAATCTGGCCACTCAGTGTATTTGGAAATGTATTTGGAAAATAAACCTAAGAATCCGATTTCACATTCGCAGCCCGGCGACGTGTGAAATGTGCTTAGTCACAGAGACATGCGGCGTAACATCGGTGAAATATCAAATGTCGCCTGAGGGGGATTGTCGTTTTGTAAACAAGGTGCATCAACCTGAACAGGTATGTGAGATACTAATATGTACAAAACTAGAATGAAAAGAGAGCTTAAAGTGCATCTACACCCAAGAACAAAATGTCATAACTGTAGCTTCCCAGGCCTCAGAGGTGGCGGCTGCATTCGTTTTCTTTTTTTCTGGGCCTTTCATTCATTCTTTATTTTCACCTTGTGACCCCCGCCAATAACACACTTCCTGTCCTAGGGTGACAACGCTCACTCACAGCACTGTATATGAGGAGCAGTGTTGTCACCGTAAGACAGGAAGTGTGTTATTGGCAGGATCGCCGTGGGAAAATAAAGGCTGAGACAGTGCTGGGCAGATGACGAGAACGGGAATTGGTTCTAATGAATATAGAATAAAGCACGGGGTCCTTGAAGGAGGGAAGTCCATGATGACAGTACAGTGCGTATATAGACTCTAGTCACATCAGACAAAGCGCTCAACAGATGATCAACTCCTGAGTGCGTGGATAAGAGCGCCTAGTGCAGACGTTTATCTTGCCCTGAAAGTTATCAGATTCTTCCAACGCATTTCGCGGAAGGGACTCCTCCTGCTTCTTCAGGGCTTGAAAAAAATGTTTGTGATGGAGTCAGGAGGGAATACACTAGAAAACCTGCGGCAAGGCTGGGCTAGAGTGTCCTATCAGCAATGTATCTTGGTGAGCTCTGTGTATTTCTTCCAGATCTGTATAGCAACCAAGTGTGAGGAGCTTCCTGTAATAAAGACCGGTCACTGCCGCTCTCTCTCCTTGTGCAGGGTGACTGGTTTTGACTCCGCCCCCTCCTGTAATAAAGACCGGTCCCTGCCACTCTCTCTCCTTGTGCAGGGTGACTGGTCTTGTCTCTGCCCCCCCTGTAATAAAGACCGCTCACTGCTGCTCTCTCTCTCCTTGTACAGAGTGACTGGTCTTGTCTCTGTCCCTTACTGTAATAAAGACCGGTCACTACTGCTCTCTCTCCTTGTGCAGGGTGACTGGTCTTGACTCCGCCCCCTCCTGTAATAAAGACCGGTCCCTGCCGCTCTCTCTCCTTGTGCAGGGTGACTGGTCTTGTCTCCGCCCCCTCCTGTAATAAAGACTAGTCACAGTTGCTTTCTCTCCTTGTACAGGGTGACTGGTCTGGTCTCTGCCCCCTCCTGTAATAAAGACCGGTCACTGCTGCTCTCTCTCCTTGTGCAGGGTGACTGGTCTTGTCTCCGCCCCCTCCTGTAATAAAGACCGCTCACTGCTGCTCTCTCTCCTTGTTCAGGGTGACTGGTCTTGTCTCTACGCCCTCCTGTAGTATTCTGTAGGCAGCCTGTAGCAGGTGGAGCCTGGCAGACCCGTTCCCACCACTCTGCTCTCTGCACTCACTACGTATTCTGGGCTAACAAAAGACATTTGGTGCCTACAAGGTGGATTTGTGTGCTTTATGGCTCTTGAGGAAGGTATTTAAAGGAATGTTCAACAGTTGATCTTTATTGTTACCACTACGGCCAGAGAGTTAACCTAAAGATAAATACAGGAAACACAATGTTTAATTTTCCACCCAGGGGTGACTGTCTGACCCCATTCCCCACACACTCCCCGTAATCTACTGATCCTGGAACACATCCGCTGCTGATGCTGGAACACTCTCCAAAGGTCACTGATTTAGTCACTCCTTTCATGGAACTTTAAGGCTGGGTTCACACCTAGGCGTATTGAATATGCGCGTTTGTCGCAGGTTTTTACCGCGAGTCGCGGTAAAAAAAACGCGCGACAAGCGCGCATTTCCGAGGGCTACTTGGCTGCATCCCAATGGAAACGCGCGACCAAATGCCCCAAAAAAGTACATGTACTTCTTTGGGCGTAGGCCGTTTTGTAGCGCGTTCAGATGGGCTGAAATACGCCCAGGTGTGAACCATACCCATAGGAAACAATGGGATTTCGGTGTTTGAGCGTTTTGCAGAGCGTTCAAACGCGCTACAAAACGCCCAGGTGTGAACCAGGCCTTAATGTGATTGTTGATTCAGTAGGCAGAGAGAGAGAATGTTAGATAGAGAATGGTTCAGCAGTGACCCGCGGGCCGGATTTCCCACAAGGCCAACCAAGGCCCGGCCTCGGGGCAGCAGGGAGTAGAGGGGCAGCAGGGTTGTGGAATTCCTATCTCCCGACGCCCGAGACATGCAGTTTCGGGCGGGTAGTTGTTTTCTACATTTAGCCCTGCTTTGGGCAAGCAGAGCTAAATGTAGAGGGGGGAATCCGCCGCTTGTTTTGTACAAGTGATCTCGGTGATGTTGCCGAGATTACTTGTATGCAGCCTGCAGGTCTGCCTCCCCCGTGGGGGGGGGGCTTGGCGGGTAGGGGGGGCGCATTGAGGAACCTGGCCTTGGGGCAGCAGAGAGAGTAAATCCGGCCCCACGTGACCCACTGCAAGACTTGGATTATAGGGCCACACTATGCTAAATAAAACAGCTCAAAACACACAATTTCATGGAGCAAGACGCACAACCAAAGTCAACATCTGTTCAAAGATTGGACATTGAAGAAACGCAGACACGTTTTATAAAGTTATAATCTCCGCTATTATTCATAAAACATAAATAGCTTTACAAACTCTTTCCTGTAAACATCATTTCACAAAACGTAGTGAACCACAAGGACAAAACTGACATATTTACAAAACAACTTATTGCAGCAACCTGAACCTTCATAACAACGCCAAGTCTTTACCAGACTATCACTGTTTTCCCAAAGTGATACTCTATGGTCAAGTTTAATAATCTATCAAGCTATGCATTCCTTCTGTGTCCATTATGAGGGTTTCCCACCATCCCTGTGCTGAGTTCCCGGGTCTGTACACCTGCTGTGCCCATTATGAGGGGCTCCCACCATCCCTGTGCTGAGTTCCCGGGTCTGTACACCTGCTGTGCCCATTATGAGGGGCTCCCACCATCCCTGTGCTGAGTTCCCGGGTCTGTACACCTGCTGTGCCCATTATGAGGGTCTCCCACCATCCCTGTGCTGAGTTCCTGGGACTACACCTGCTGTGCCCATTATGAGGGTCTCCCACCATCTCTGAGCGGAGTTCCCAAGTCTGTACACCTGCTGTGCCCATTATGAGGGGTTCCCACCATCCCTGAGCTGAGTTCCCTGGTCTGTACACCAGCTGTGCCCATTATAAGGGGTTCCCACCATCCCAGTGCTGAGTTCCCAGGTCTGTACATCTGCTGTGCCCTTTATGAGGGGTTCCCACCATCCCTGTGCTGAGTTCCCGGGTCTGTACACCTGCTGTGCCCATTATAAGGGGTTCCCACCATCCCAGTGCTAAGTTCCCGGGTCTGTACACCTGCTGTGCCCTTTATGAGGGGAGGGGTTCCCACCATCTCTGAGCTGAGTTCCCGCATCTGTACGCCTGCTGTGCCCATTATGAGGGTCTCCACCATCTCTGAGCGGAGTTCCCGGGTGTGTACACCTGCTGTGCCCATTATGAGGAGCTCCCACCATCCCTGTGCTGAGTTCCCGGGTCTGTACACAAGCTGTGCCCATTATAAGGGGTTCCCACCATCCCTGTGCTGAGTTCCCGGGTCTGTACACCTGCTGTGCCCTTTATGAGGGGTTCCCACGATCTCTGAGCGGAGTTCCCACCATAGACAACACGAAGGACAATAATGGCTCTGAAAATATGAGAACATGTTTTCTATGTTTGTCCTGTTTCAGCATTATTCACATTGCTGTCATCTGTAGGGGTGGTCTCTGTAGCGGTGGCCTCTGTGGGGGTGGTCTCTGTAGGGGTGGCCTCTGTGGGGGTGGCCGTTTCCTTGAAGCTGCTCTTCTTCCTTACTATAGCATTTTCAATGATCAGAGATACATTATCTTGCCCCTTAATACTTGATCTGCCCTTCGCTAAGATGCTCTTGAGCTGGACCCAAAAGAAGGGTTGTCTGCTTTCCTCCATAGGCCACTCCAAATACGTTTTGGTCCTAAGAATTTTCCGTAGCCTGTGGAACCTTTTCGGCAGATCTTCCATACTGACGCTTTCCTTGACCACCAGGATGACGTCTTCCATAGCGTGGCCAATGGCCCTTTGGTGGGCGAAGTAGAGCTCGTAGTTACACCACTCACTGTTGATGAAGTTGTGTGACAGAATGAAGATGATCTTTTGGCTGTTCTCAATGTTCTCTATGATGTTATCGATAATCCATTTCCCTGGCAGAAAGTCTCTCTCATGGATGCATACTCTGTAGGGTGGGTCAGAGTTCTCCAGATGGCGGAGTAGAACCCCTCTTACCCAATCAGCGTCCGAATAGCTGTAAGAGATGAAGGCGTGGTAGTCATAGTCTCTGCTGTGTTTTGCCTTCCGCGACCGATATTTGGTTTTGATTATTTGACAAGTCGCTCGAATGTACCATGGTGCATTAAACCGCCAACACAAAAACATGCAGACAATGACAACGAAAGCCGTCACCGACGCAGATATGGCCACCACCAAGCCAACGCTACACTCCAGCCTTCCAGGGCTGAAGTGTTCAATTCTAGTGTTTAGTAAATACGGGGGGTGATAGCAGTAATAATTATCGGGCCAGTCATCAAGACCCAAAGACCCTTCTTTCAGAGTGTCTGTGATGAAGGCATAAAGGTCACATGTACAGTGGTAAGGATTGTTGCCCGCTGTCAAGTGTGTCAACTGGGGCAAATCTCGAAAAGAACCCTGATCAATAACTCCAAAGGAATTGCCTTCCAGTGCCAGCACTTGAAGGTTGGGACTGCGCCACCCGGAGGGTATGAACTTGATTTTATTGTTGCTAAGTATCAGTTCTGTCAAATTGGTGGCCTTGTCAAAGTAATGCATATCCAGTTGATCGAGGTGAGAATTGGAGAGGTCCAAGTGCTCCACTGTTGTAGGTAGACAGCGGAACACTTCGTACTGCAGCAAATTGTCCCTCAAAATAAGAACTTTAATGTCAGATGTCCACACACAAGTTTCGTCGAGAACCCCAAAGTGGTTTGACCTAAGGTCAAGGTAGATGAGTTTTGGCCACCCAGCTGTTAACAAAGAAAGCGTCTTCAGACTGCGCATATCGTTGTAGCTAGCATTAAATATCTCAATATTGGAGAACATGTTGTTCCTGCACAACTGTTTGTACAGGTACGTGGCCAAGAGGCGGTTGCCTGATATATTAAGCACAACTAGATTGGTCATCTGGCGCCAAGCATCGCAAGGAAGAATGTTAAAGTTCACATTAGTGATGCTGAGGTTGGTGACCTTGCTGAACCAGGTGAACGTCCAGTCAAATTGAAGTATGTCTGGGTTGGTGACATCCTGTATCACCAGGTTGTCCAAATTTAAGTTGTCAATGGTGGTATTCCATATATTAGGATTTGGAGAAGAGGCAAAATCAATAGAGAGCAGGTATAGGTTCTGTACAGAAGAAACTTGGACATTCTGCAAGACCAGACGTAGGAGGTTCTCATTAAAAATCCCTCTGTAGAAGACCAGGTCTCTTAAATCAATATATGGTAGATAAGCAAATATATCTTCGATGCCCATGTAACACGACGACCCAAACAGGTTTCGCAAACGGAGGCTAGAGATTGACTTATTTTTCAAATCCTTCAACATATCACTCAGTAGGGTTGCGTTCGTATCCACAGCAATGTCAAGCCACAAAATCTGCGTGTCCAGCACCAAGAAGGCCCCGGGTTCATAAAAGTCTAAGCTGGACTTGGATTTCAAAGCAAACTTATTGAGACTGATATTTATGATTGGAGCAAAGTCATCTTTGAAGATGCCGGAGACCCGAGGACCTCCTACGGACAATTCTTTCAGATTCACCAGGTTGCAGAAAACCTCCCCAAGAGTAGCACGTTTGTAGAAGTTGTTGGACAAGTCAAGGATCTGCAAGTCCCCCAGATCTTCCAAGGAAGAATGAGGAATCTCACTGAGAGCGTTATTAGACAAACTCAAGTTCCTTATAAGTGCGTTGTACTGAAATGTTTTGTTTTCGATGTATGAAATATTATTGAAGCTCAGGTTTAACGTGTGTAGATTGGGGTACTGAAGAAAGTCCTCGGCCCCTATTTTTAAAATGTTATTATACGATAGATCCAGGTACACCAAGTTCTCTGAGAGATTCGGAGGGACCCGTTCAAGATCCTGTCCTTTGCAAGTGACAATTTTTCCATCTGCGCTGACGCCACAAGTCCCCTGGCACCATGGCAAAGCTACGGTCAAGACTTTCAGGGTCATCAACCACCCAATGTACTGGAACATATCTAGGCAATCCACATCTTCTTTTTCTGAAAAACAAGAATACAAATTCATCTAAATGATCCATGTTAAATTCAACCCCAACACTGTCCTCAAAACACTAGGTGGGGAGGACTATGCTCCAAGCACAATGGTTTATTTCCAATTACCCGAGATACTGTATGACACAAAGTTTCACTAGGAATTAAAAGAGCTTCTCTGCAGAGAATAGCAGTGCCGAGTCCTACCCCAGAAGAATGGGCATGACAGGCAGGTAACTAGCATTTTTGGCACCTTAACCCCCTTCATGACTAAGGCCTTTTTTCCCATTTTTTTTGCACCTATTGTAGGCCTGAAAATGACTTAAAACCCCCCAAACATTATATATTTTCTGAAAGCCCAGACCCTATAGAATAAAATGGTGGTAGTTGAAAATTTTTATGTTGCACGATATTAGCGCAACTCCTTATCAAACCCCAACATTTTGTGAAAAATGTACTTAAATGCCCCAAAACATAATAAAATACCCATTTTATTAATATAATATAAAAGATGAGGTTACAGCGAGGAAATAGATACCCGACATGCCCAGGTTTAAAATTGTGTGCCTCTCTGAAACGGCGAAAAACTGCAGTACCCCAAAAAGTCCATAGAAGACTCTTTAAAAGCCCCCCCCCAGAGGGCATCAATTTAGAGATGCCCTAAAATTATTGCTCTCACTCCGGCGTGCGCGGCGATACCCAACATGTGTAGCGAGTTTGTCGTTTTCATATGTAGGCGCACCCGACGCGTGTTTACGTGGCGACGCGCGTGCTCGCGGGGGCGGGGGACTTTTAATTTTTTTTTAATTATTATTAGATTTCTTTTATTTAAATTTCATTTAAAAAACATTTTTTTTTTTTTTTTACTTTACTTTGACTGCTATCACATGGGGGGGCTTACAAGCAGATAGCAGATGGTGGTGACAGGTACTCTTTAAGGTGATGCTGGGGGTCCAAAAGACCCCCAGTGTCACCTTTACACTGGAAATAAGCTATTGAAGTGCAGATCGCACTTCAATAGCTTATAGCTGGGCTGCAGGAGCCCAGAACTGACAGCCCAGGGACCGGAAGTGATGCAATCTGCATCGCTCCCGGTCCCATAGAACGGGGAGGGGAATCGATGAACGGAAGTTCGTCGACCTCCTCCCCAGCTCCCCGCGGACACCAAGATCGCCGGTCCCGGGCCCGTAGAGATACCCAAAAATATTGGCCCTAAAATTATTGCTCTCACTCCGGCGTGCGCGGCGATACCCAACATGTGTAGCGAGTTTGTCGTTTTTATACGTAGGTGCACCCGACGCGTGTTTATGTAGTGACGTGCGTGCTCGCGGGGGCGGGGGTACTTTAAAAAAACATTTTTATTATTATTTTTAGATTTATTTCATGCTAATTTTAAAAACTGTTTTGTTTTTTTTACTTTAATTGCTATCACATAGGGGGGCTTACAAGCCCCCCCCATGTGATAGCAGATGGTGGTGACAGGTACTCTTTAAGGTGATGCTGGGGGTCCAAAAGACCCCTAGTGTCACCTTTAAACTCCAAATAAGCTATTGAAGTTCAGATCGCACTTCAATAGCTTATTGCTGGGCTTCAGGAGCTGAGCAATGACAGCCCAGGGACAGGAAGTGATGTAATCTGCATAACTCCCGGTCCCATAGAACGGGGAGGGGATCGACGAATGGAGGTTCGTCCATGGAGGTACGAATGGAGGTTCGTCCATCTCCTCCCCAGCTCCACGCCGACACCAAAGAAGCCAGTCCCAGGCCCGTAGGAGGGGCAACGGAGCCTAGGAAGCATGGCGGGGGTGTCGGGCGGGGCGACCCCTTCACCGGGCCGCAGAAGCGATCTGGCGACAGCTGAGCCACCAGAATCGCTTCTATTGTAAAGCCGACAGTCGGCTTTACAAGTTTAAACAGCCCCAATGCTAGCGGCGTACACTGTACATCGTTAGTCACAAAGGGGTTAAAGTATATCTAAAGTCATGACTTTTTGGGATCAGGAGGAGAAGGGTTAACCTGCCAAGTTTTTTCTTTTTGTTTGCAGCCTGTGTCCCATTGGGGAAAATTCCCTTCACTTCCTGTCTCTGAGATACAACAGAAAGTGAGAGCTTATCTCTCTAATGTGAGGGGAAATGTGCTCCTAGTTGTCACTAGAACAGGTGTCCTCCCTCTAATTCTGTTCCCGGTGACAGCTCAAAAATGTTGATTTTTTTTTCCATGACCTTTGACCCAGTGACAATGGTCACCATGAAAAATAGAGAGAGTGACTCTCCCCAGTGGTGACACAGGCAGCAATAACAACCTCAAGGCTCAAGTACTTTGGTTCGGTCCCTTTAATAAGTACCCTGACATACCTAAGCAGGCAATTGAGAGTCTTACCTCATAGAATTCATTATCAAGATACTTCCGTGGAGTCAGCAAAATAGTGATCATTAGCGGACCGGGGGGGGGGGGAAGCTCACAGGATTATGAGCGGTAGTCATGGATTTTTTTCATCTTGTGTCATCGTGATCCGCAGAGTGACACCTAGAAGGAAGATGGTGGAGATCATGTTAGCTGTGCGGTGCTATTGATGGATTATTTAGGAGACACGTAACACCAGACCTCTACAACATGGAACTATATTGTATTATTGGACTCTTTGTACAATATGAACATTCATTACACTTTACTTACTCAGTCTCCGATAGATTGAAGCCCCAGGCCAGGAGGGTCTTAGGTCTTGCTTTGTGATATATTATGCTGATATTTTCTTGGCAGTGGTGGACCAAAGGAACAAAGTGCCCTGGTGCAAGATTTTTTTTCTTGGCAGGGACAGACGCAGAGTGTCTCAGCAGGGGCAGACGCAGAGTGTCTGCTCTCGGCAGGGGCAGATGCAGTAGCTCTCAACAGGGGCAGTTGCAGTGAGTCACAGCAGATGCAGAGGGTCAGAGCAGCGGCAGATGTGCAAGCGGTGTGAGACTTGCGGGCCGGCGTTATAAAAAGGCACTACTGTGGCTCCCCAGAAGGCTGCCGGGAGTTCCCCAGCAAGCGCAGAACCTTATGACAGCCAACTCAATAAAAAAATGTAAAGCACCAGACCATGCCTCCTCCAATAGGGGCGTCCGAATCTCACTGGCTCCCCCCAGGGGCTGGATTTCACTGCCCCACTCCAGCCTCGGGCCCTGGCTCAGCTGCACCGGCGGTACATCCACCCCTGTTTCTTGGTGTGTTGGAATGCTGGGAACACCTCAATGGACACAACAGGTGTACAGACCCGGGAGCTCAGCACAGGGATGGTGGGAGCTCCTCATAATGGGCACAGCAGGTGTACAGACCAGTGAACTCAGCACAGGGATGGTGGGAGCCCCTCATAATGGGCACAACAGGTGTACAGACCCGGGAACTCAGCACAGGGATGGTGGGAGCACCTCATAATGGACGCAACAGGTGTACAGACCCGGGAACTCAGCACAGGGATGGTGGGAGCACCTCATAATGGGCACAACAGGTGTACAGACCCAGGAACCCAGCTCAGGGACCTTACTATTATATATACTGGAATATACTGTAAGGAAATTGAACTCAGCAGCATCCAGCAAGCACACACAATTCAGCTCTGGCTGGAGTAATATTTTAAGAATGTGCTCCTCAAGTTGTAGAAAACAAAGTGTTGTATCTTTGGTATGTGAATCATAGAGATTCAAAGGGGAACCTGTGAGGACAGAAATGCTGAGTCATAGATTGTCACGCTAGCGGCTTTGAGCATGGCAATCAGTACAGGCAGCAGCATGGCTAAACAATTGCTGAGATAAAATCAATTGAAGACACAAAGATGCCTTCGGTTGACCCAGACTGCCAGGATTTGTGCTGAAAGAGAGGAACAATAAAGTGCAGTCACTTATGAGGGCACTAAACAGGCAATCGGCCATTTGCCTGAGCTACAGTGGTCAGTTTCGCCCATCCTCATTTGTGGTGTATATTGACGTAAAAACAATTTTCTTTTATATATTTTTTAGTTTCAGGTGAAGTGTGTGTAATGTAATACTGCATTGTGGCCACTAGATGGAGCTGAGGAGCCGAGGAAATAAGTACTTGATGCTCAGCTTCACCTAGTGGTCATAATACAGTATTACCTTACATTCGTCCTGGAAAGAGGATACATCTTAGAACATTTGTTTCTTTGTATTGATTTACACAGAATGATTGTTTAGAACAGGGGTGGCCAAACTCCGGCCCTCTAGCTGTGGTGCGACTACAAATCCCATGATGCATCTCTCCAGAAATCATGTCTGTGGCTGTGAGAATCTTGCAATGCCTAGTGGGACCACAGCGTGAGGGCCAGAGTTTGGCTACCCTTGGTTCAGAAAGTGAGTTTCGTTCTCTATGTAACTAGCTGAAGATTATGATCACTGAATGCCAAAATTGAAATGAAACAGTATGGTGGTGGT